TACCCACTCCAAGACGACTCGACAGAGCGCAGGGGAAGAAGCCTGCCCCGCCAGCCCCGACCCCCCAAAGGGGGAGGGGCCACCCAACGCCACCGCAGGCCGCGAGACACGACCCGAAAGGCCCACGAATCGTGGGACCAGGCGCGGGCGAACAGCGCAAGCCGCCCCCCCATCGCCCCGTCAAAGGGGCAAACCGCGAAAGGGCCGGCGACCCTTACGAGACCCAGAACCCCGCACAGCGCGAACACCGCGCCGACCAGACGAGGGAGGGTCCGCAGGAGGAGCCAACCCCAAACCTGACACCAGAGGCCTACCACGACGAGAGGAACCCCGAGCCCTGGCACGACCTTTCCGGGAAGACCCACCCCGGGACCCCCGGAAAACCAACAAGTCCGACATCGGACGACAAGCCGCCGACGCAGCCTGAATAAACTGCGCCACGGCCGACTCCCCAAACAGGAGAGGACAAAAAGGTGAAGAACGCCTAAGAGCCAGAGCCCAAGCAGATTCCACGGAGGAACCCAGCACCGCCTGCCGACACGCGAGACGGGAAGCATAGAACAGGGAAACCGCATCCCGCAAAATCGGCGTGAACAGCATCAACAAGGCAGCCGACGAACGCGCAGCCGAGGACAAGGTGCCGGACCCCGGGACGGACCCAAGCGTCCCCACATCCTCCACGAGCCAATCCGAAGACAGCTCCAGGAGGGAAAAGAACCGCAAGGCCGAACACAAAAGGCCCCGAGCGCGCAAGTCCTCCGCCACGAGCGCCGCCGAAAGGGAGGGAACCTGCACATGGAGCTGAATAACGCCCACATCGCGGGGAAGGGCAGGGGCAAACAAGCACTCATTCAGGTACTCAAGTTCACCCCCCAGGAAAACCTGAAGCACCGTGGAAGCTTCCCGCCACTCCAGCGTGCGGGAACGACAGAAGGAATGCCAGGAATCCAGACCAAACAAGGGGCAGTCTGCTAGCCAGGATGACTCCGGAACCTCGTAACGGAGCCAGAAAGGGAACGAAGTCCCAAACCTGAACGTGGACGGATCCATTTCCGAGGCATAATCCGGGTCACGCAGGAGGTAAGCTGCAAAGGCCGCTCGCACCACACCAGGTTGGATGCGATAAGCCGAAAACCTCCGGAAGGACGGAACCGACGTACCCGGGGGAACACGGAACCGTACCCGGGGAGGGGCCGACACCAAATCCAACTCGTACGCAGAGGGGGGGAAAGAAAACCCCACTCCTTGTAACAATAAGCCCCGCTCAGTGGGAAGAAAAACACAGGCGGGGTCCAGCGGGGCCCAAGGCCCCCAAGTCAGCCCCTCCCCAGCCTCGAGGTCCGTCACCACAGGACCCGAGGCCGAGTCCTCTCCCCAAGCCCCGACCCCACAAGACAAGGACGGAGCAGCCGGAAAAGCTGGAGGAAGGGGGGCCCACTGGTCAGACCCTGAAGCTTCGGCCGGGAGACAAGACTCGAATGCCTCTGCCGCCCCCCCGGAAGGGGCAACCCCCGAAGCTGCCCGAGTCTCGAGATCAAGTAACCCCTGCTCCGACCCCGAAACCCTCAGACGCTTCGGGGCCGGAAGCAGGGGCGGGGGACCAGAACGAACAGAAGGGGAAGGACGAGGAGGTGCGGACTGAACCAGGATCGAAGCGACCCCCACCCCCAAGTCCGGGTCTCGAAAAGCAAAGCGGGGCAGCCCCGGGGCATCCGGGGAAGCAACCAACCGAGCGCGTTGCAACAGACGAAACCTAGACTGCAACGCACGTGCCGCCTGTACCCGAATAGAATCATCAGAGGATTGGGTAAATTGAGTCACAAGCAAGCAGCAACACTCACAGGACTCAGGGTCGAAAGTATCACCGACCCAACAGGCAGCGTGGCAGAGGCAAAAACAATGAGGGTCACCCTGAGACAAGGGGACCGAGCAACCCTCAAACTCGCACACAGCGAGTGGGGACCCCGGGGTCACATCCATCGGACCCACGCGCCCCCTAGGGGATTCCCAGGGTCCTGAGCGTTTACTTTAAGAGGACTCGCGCTCAGGTAGTCCCAGGCAGGGTGCTGCAAACCGGCGCCCAAAACTACCAAGCAAACTTCTAAAGCTGAACCCCAGGGACGTGTACACTCACGGGGACCTAGCAGGGGGCGCCACCGAGGAGAACAGTGGAAGGGCAAAAACAAACTGAATAAAATGACAGAACCCCCCACCAGGCAAAAACAAAAAGAAAAACAAAACCCCGCAAGAGGACAGCGAACCCCAAGGAACAGAGCCGGCCGCGATGTCGGGAATTACAAGCTGAGCAGCACCCTGCGCCCCTACCAGTGCAAACTGCCTCTTACCTGCCGGTAACAAGGGAGAACAGAACACCCAAGAGCCCAACAGGCGGCCGAAAAACCGAAAGGTAAAACGGACCAGCAGAGGCAGACCCCGAGGAGCCTGTGGAAGGTGGCCCCAAGCCCCAAGGGCAGTACTTACAGGGCACCTAGGGAAGGCAGCCCTAGGCGCATGCAGCCCGAGTACTGAAGATAACTCCTGGCACTCGCACCCACAAAACTAACACCACACTCAAAGCACAGTGCAGTAGCGACACCGGAGCCAGAGCACACGACCATCGCCTATAGCATCAGCCTCAAGAACTGAGGTGTGGGTAGCCGGCGCGGGGGGTCTGGGGCTCCCCCTTCCCCCTCCCGGGGAGGGGGGAGCTGCGCAGACAGCGGCGCGGCAGTGTGTGACGTCACACTAATTTGCTTGTTTTCGGTTGGGGAGTTCTATCCACTAGTTCGGTATTAGGTAGCAATTTTAACCAGAATAGGGGTTTGTTTTGGGGCGCTTACCTTTCTGGGTGCCTGTTCCGGTCGATGGCAGACATAGAATGCTTCCAACTACACGGGGGCTTCTATAGGCCATTGCTCCCCTTGCCTCTCTGAGGGGGCCCGGTTCTGGCCGTGGTCCCCGGTAGGCCTAAGAACTCCATACACATGACTGATGCCAAAGTCTGACATTAGCATATCAGCCTGGGATAGCTCCGGGGAGCCGACGGGGCTCCCCCCAGAGAAGACTTTAGTTGTGTAAACTAAGGTCTTTGAAAATGTAATAAGTTTTACGAAATGCGTTCAAGTGACGCGTCAGACTAGAAATAAAATGAATTTTGGAGAATTGATTTTTCAGTTACCATCAACAGTGAAAAGGAATATAAGAACATTGAGAAAATTTGTGTTAGAATTATTAATCTTACTTTTTCGGTCATATTTAATAATATATATATATATATATATATATATATATATATATATATATATATATATATATATATATATATATATATATATATATATATGTCGTACCTAATAGCCAGAACGCACTTCTCAGCCTACTATTCAAGGCCCGATTTGCCTAATAAGCCAAGTTTTCATGAATTAATGTTTTTTCGTCTACCTAACCTACCTAACCTAACCTAACCTAGCTTTTTTTGGCTACCTAACCTAACCTTACCTATAAATATAGGTTAGGTTAGGTTAGGTAGGGTTGGTTAGGTTCGGTCATATATCTACGTTAATTTTAACTCCAATAAAAAAAATTGACCTCATACATAGAGAAAAGGTTTGCTTTATCATTTCATAAGAAAAAAATTATAGTAAATATATTAATTCAGGAAAACTTGGCTTATTAGGCAAATCGGGCCTTGAATAGTAGGCTGAGAAGTGAGTTCTGGCTACTAGGTACGACATATATATATATATATATATATATATATATATATATATATTTATATATATATATATATATATGTCGTACCTAGTAGCCAGAATGCACTTCTCAGCCTACTATGCAAGGCCCGATTTGCCTAATAAGCCAAATTTTCCTGAATTATTATATTTTCTCTAATTTTTTTCTTATGAAATGATAAAGCTACCCATTTCATTATGTATGAGGTCAATTTTTTTTTTATTGGAGTTGAAATTAACGACCGAACCTAACCAACCCTACCTAACCTATCTTTTTAGGTTAGGTTAGGTTAGGTAGCAGAAAAAGTTAGGTTAGGTTAGGTAGGTTAGATAGTCGAAAAATAATTAATTCATGAAAACTTGGCTTATTAGGCAAATCGGGCCTTGCATAGTAGGGCTGAGAAGTGCGTTCTGGCTACTAGGTACAACATTATATATATATATATATATATATGTATGTATATATATATATATATATATATATATATATATATATATATATATATATATATATATATATATATATATATATATATATATATATATATATATATATATATATATATATATATATATATATATATATATATATATATATATATATATATATATATATATATATATATATATATATATATATATATATATATATATATATATATATATATATATATATATATATATATATATATATATATATATATATATATATATATATATATATATATATATATATATATATATATATATATATATATATATATATATATATATATATATATATATATATATATATATATATATATATATATATATATATATATATATATATATATATATATATATATATATATATATATATATATATATATATATATATATATATATATATATATATATATATATATATATATATATATATATATATATATATATATATATATATATATATATATATATATATATATATATATATATATATATATATATATATATATATATATATATATATATATATATATATATATATATTATATATATATATATATATATATATATATATATATATATATATATATATATATATATATATATATATATATATATATATATATATATATATATATATATATATATATATAGCTGAGTATATAAAATGAGAAAGATACATAGTACATCATTCACAAATTAAGTAATCCCATATTGTACGAGGACAGTAGAACAAGAAGAAGACTTTCCACCGAGACAGTCCATAGCCCTGTACAATACCTTGAAGTTGTAGTCTTCGCAGAGAGGGGCCATCAGGCCCTTATTGGCTTCTGAGAGTTCACTGAGTTTGATCTTCTCTGGTTCGTTCAACTCATTTGGGTTGTTGCTGCCCAGGAGGCTGAAGGCACTGTACTCCGCACTGATGGCGGTGTTCATAATGGAGTCCATCATTGTTAAGCCGGTTGCGTTTCTGAAGGCAAATAAATTAATTTCTAAGTACGCAGCCCTTTGATGATTCTTTCCCATGATAGCCACACCTCAGCCCCCTTTGCCATGTCAGATATAAGTCTTAATTTGCAACATTTATAAAAACCTCATGCAAATAACTATCACACTATTGACCATAGAAGAGATGAACACAGTAAAATCACAAGAAATAATGCATCTATGAGAAAATATTTACACTGCGATGGAATCAAATCCGCATCGCTGGACTCCCCAAGAACACCCACATTGCCTACATTGTAGCCCCTTCCTACATCTTCCTACAGTGATGTAGGAAGAGGCTACAGTGATGTAGGAAGAGGCTACAGTGATGTAGGAAGAGGCTACAGTGATGTAGGAAGAGGCTACAGGGATGCAGGAAGAGGCTACAGGGATGCAGGAAGAGGCTACAGTGATGTAGGAAGAGGCTACAGTGATGTAGGAAGAGGCTACAGGGATGCAGGAAGAGGCTACAGGGATGCAGGAAGAGGCTACAGGGATGCAGGAAGAGGCTACAGTGATGTAGGAAGAGGGGCTACAGTGATGTAGGAAGAGGCTACAGTGATGTAGGAAGAGGCTACAGTGATGTAGGAAGAGGCTACAGTGAGGTAAGAAGAGGTTACAGTGACATAGAAGAAGCTACAGTGATGTAAGAAGAGGTTACAGTGACAGAAGAAGCTACAGTGATGTAAGAAGAGGTTACAGTGACAGAAGAAGCTACAGTGATGTAAGAAGAGGTTACAGTGACATAGAAGAAGTTACAGTGATGTAAGAAGAGGTTACAGTGACATAGAAGAAGCTACAGTGATGTAGGAAGAGGCTACAGTGATGTAGGAAGAGGCTACAGTGATGTAGGAAGAGGCTACAGTGATGTAAGAAGAGGTTACAGTGACAGAAGAGGCTACAGTGATGTAAGAAGAGGTTACAGTGACAGAAGAAGCTACAGTGATGTAAGAAGAGGTTACAGTGACATAGAAGAAGCTACAGTGATGTAAGATGAATCCACATGGGTACGTAGCAATGATGGATGCCGGAGGGTGGGGTAGACACGTACACAGTGTATACCTGCAGATGAAGAGTCACAGTAACGTGGCTGAAAAATGTTCACCAATACACACACTAGCAAGTGAAGAGACGACAGATTCTCGTCTCATCGTAGAAATTATGATTCTAACACGAATCTTCTCAATATTTCTTATGTTTTTCTTCACTGTCAAGGGAAGTTGAAAAATTATCTCGTTAAAGTTTATTTTTTCACTTTTCAATAGTCTCTTCAATTTCTAGTGTGTGGTTTGGTCAACAGAATATATAGTTGATACTTTTTAATTTCCAGGTATTTTTATGTTCAATTTCTGTGCAAATGGAGATATTTATTAGCAATTCCTTTGTCAATTTTCTACCATCTATAATTACTGTACTTATATTTGTTATAATTACAAATAGACCACTTTGTGATCACCTAAGCACAGATCCTGGATACAACTTTAGCGTATAACAAGTTCCCAGAACCCATTTTGATCGCTAGTAACAAGGCATCGAGGTAAAGTATCTTAGTTCTAAGTTTCTGTTATGGTCACCCACTCACAGAAATTCCTTACACTGAGGCAGGCCTCAGAAACTTGCATATAATTTTTCTTCGTCACGGACAGGAAGCCTGTACTACTTGGGTTTATCAGTCATCCCTAGATCAACTACTGACCTTCCCGAAGATGCAACCCACAACCGTTAACTAACCCTCAGGAACCTATTTAGTGCTAAATGAATAGAGGAATCAGTTGAAAAGAAATCTGCCCAACCATGTATGTCCTGCCCAAGGATCGAACTTGGGATCCACAATTGTGAGTCGAGTACATAGACCACTGTGACACACTAAAAGTTTGTGAAAAAATCAGTTACAAAGGTGCAGTGCAATTTGGTGTGTTACGTAAGGCCAAAGTCATGTAAGGTTTTGTAAAAGCTTTTTAAGAACTCTGCATAGCAGTGAAATAGAATACAGTACAGTATTTAACACTGCTTCGTGATCAACACAATATTCTATGCAGCCCCAATAACTTGGCTGAAATAAGAACACAACCCAAATAGGAAGAGGTGAAAATAGGCCACACAAAAACTACAAATTATATGAAAATACCTTTAAGAATTCTGATAAAGAAAGAGATTTAGGAGTGGTTCTGGAGTAAAACAAAACACTCACCTGAGAATCACATAAAGATCATTGTGCGAGGAGCGTATAGTATGCTTTCCAACTTTAAAATTGCTCTTAAATACATGGATGGTGAAATATTACAAAAATTATACAAGACCTTTGTGAGACAAAAGTTGGAATGTGCTGTGGCTGCATGGTACCAATATCTCAAGAAACACATCATTAAAATTAAACTAAAAAAAGATGCAAAGCCATGCAACTAATTGGCTTCAAGAACTGGAAAACAAAAGCTACATGGAGAGATTAAAAGTATTAAGTATCCCAAAGGCAGAAGATAGAAGAAAAAGAGGAGATATGATCACTATGTACAAAATAGTAACAGAAATCAATGAAATTGACAATGACAAATTTTTTAAAACTACACCTTCAAGAACAAGTGGAAATAGATTCAAAGGAAACAAAGCTCCTGCAAAAAATTTGAAAGTTCACTTTTGCAAACAGAGTGATAGACGGCTGGAATATGCTAAGTGAGAAGGTGGTGGAGGCCAAAACAATCAGTAGTTTCAAAGCGTTATATGATAGTGCTGGGAAGATGGAACACCATGAACGTAGCTCTCATCCTGCAATTACACTTATGGGGTAGTTTCATATAATTATTAGAATTAAATGCAACAAAGTTTTGATCCGTCCTTTCATGTCCTAGTATTTCGGTCCCTCCATTATAAAGTCGTGTTACATACATGACTTGATATGGTCCACGACAGACCCAAACAATTGAAAATTTTCTATTTTCACATTTGTGGGTTGGGTCCAATCCTTTTCATTCAATCAATCATTCAACCCTTTTCATGTGTGAGCTGGGATATTCTGAATTATATAAGAATGCATTGGCTACAGCTCACTACCTGGATTATATCCAGATAGAGTTCTAGATCTTCTACTGCACAAGCCTGGCCCAGGGCCAGGCTTGACTTGTGATAACTTGGTCCAACAGGCTGTTGCTTGGAACGGCCACAGGCCCACATATCCACCACAGCCCGGTTGGTCCGGCACTTCTTGAAGAAAGGTGTACAGTTTTCTGTTGAAGAAGTTAATTTTTGTTACAGTAATATTTCTTATACTGTACTTGCTGGGAGGATGTTGAACAACCACGGACCTCTGATGTTTATACAGTATTCTCTGATTGTGCCTATGGCACCCCCTGCTCTTCACTGGTTATATTCTGCATTTCCTTCCATATTGTTCACTCCAGTATGTTGTTATTTTACTGTGTAGATTTTGGACCTGGCCACTTTAGTATTTTCCATGTATATATTATTTGATATCTTCCTTATATCCTTTCAAGAGAGTACATTTGGAGAGCTGTGAGACAGTCCTAATAGTTTAGGTGCCTTTATCATGTCTATGTATGTCATATATATTCTCTGTTTTCCCCCTCTTTCAGTAATCTCTCCTGCTCTGAAGGGGGAAGTGAGCACTGAGCAGTGCTCAAGACAGGAAGAAAATCACAAGTGATTTGAATAGTACGACCACTGAGATGGAATCCCTGGATTTGAAGATTTTGTAATTCATCCTATCATTTTTCTGGCTGACTTTATATTTGCTTGGTTATGTTCCCTAAATGTTAAGCAAGCAGCCATGATTATTTCAAGCTCCTTAACACATTGCTTACTTAATATGGGCAGATTTCATTTTTTTTTTACCCCTGTATATTGTTTAAGGTTCTCCTTTTTACCGTACCAAAGTACCTGGAATTTATCACTGTTAAACATCGTGTTATTTTCTGCTGCCCAGTTGAAGAGTTTAATATCTGCTCTTAGTTTTTCAATGTCTTCAACATAAGTAATTTTCATGCTGATTTTTGTGTCATCTGTAAAAGATGATACGAAGCTGTGACTTGTATGTTGTCTATACCTGATATAAGAATAAGGAACATCAGTGGTGCAAGGACTGTACCCTGAGGTACAGAGCATTGCACTGTGCTTAATTTTATTTGATTAACTGTTCCTCTTAGTGTACTGTTTGAGAGAAAACTGAATATCCATCATCCTACTTTACCTATTATTCCTATTGACCTCATTTTGTTGGCTATTACTCCATGGTTATATTTATCACATGCCTTTGCGAAGTTCATGAATACCACATCTGCATTCTGTTTTTCTCCTAATACCTCAGTGATTTTGTCATAGTGGTCAAGTAGCTGTGAGAGGCACGATCATCCCGCTCTAAATCCATGTTGGCCTGGATTGTGGAGGTCATTGGTCTCCATAAAACTGGAGATTTGACTCCTGATCAGTCTCTCAAATACAGCTACCTGTATTACGTTGGATGTTATGCAACTGGTCTATAATTCTTAGCAAATGCTTTGCTCGCTCCCTTGTGTAAAGGGGCTATATCTGTTGATTTAATTGCCCTGTCCCCAAGCTCTTCCTCCACACTATACTGAGTCTCTGCTCTACTGGCACTTTGCATTTCTTTATAAATAATGAATTCCACGAGTCTGGCTCCGAGGCTGAGTACCTGGCCATGTTGTCAATTTCTCTTTCAAAATTTGTAGTGTTCATGTTTATATCAATTATATTTTCAAGAGTTTGGGTATCATGCATAAAGAAATTGTCCAGATCGTCCACTTTCATGCTGTTTATTGGGGTACTAAACATGTCCACATACTGAATACAGAAGATATAAAATATATCATTATATATACTGTATACACTGGCAAGCTAAATAAAAATATTCAACAATGCCTTTTTGCCCAAAATCAACAGTGGAAGCCTAAGGAAGTCTCAGAGGCAATATTAATTAAACGGACAAGAAGATGAACACCATCATTCCAATCATTCTGTGTCACACAACTGGACTGAATTTCACATTTTCTGCCAGCCTGCCTCACTCTCTGCCTGCCATACTGGCAACGGGTCGAGTGTGTTAGGCTTAAAATTCGGGAGTGAGCCGGTCTCTCCCCCACCACCCCCACCACTGACAACCCCCCCCCCCCTACACCCCATACAATCTCTTAAAGGTCACGCGGTTCAACCATGTGACTATCCCTGCCTCCCTGCTTGCCAGCCAGCCTGCCTCCTTCTCTGCCTGCCATCCAGCCTGCCTCCCTCTCTGCCTGCCATCCAGCCTGCCTCCCTCTCTGCCTGCCATCCAGCCTGCCTCCCTCTCTGCCTGCCATCCAGCCTGCCTCCCCCTCTGCCTGCCATCCAGCCTGCCTCCCTCTCTGCCTGCCATCCAGCCTGCCTCCCTCTCTGCCTGCCATCCAGCCTGCCTCCCTCTCTGCCTGCCTTTCTGCCTGCCTCTCTGTCTGTCAGCCTGCCAGCCTGCCTGCCTGCCAGCCTGTCTGCCTGCCTGCCTGCCTGCCAGCCTACCTACCTGCCTGCCTGCCTGCCTGCCAAAAATATACGATGATGTACATTTAAGAAACAAATCTGGGTCACAGGTTTGTCGAGTATGGTTAGGTGTACAGAGTCAACCGGTCCCTCCCCCACCACCGACAACCCCCCCCTCCAACCCATACACACACACACACACACACACTCTCTCTCTCTCAAAGGTCACGTGGTTCACCTCAACATCCATACATTCCTTCCTGCCTGCCTCCTTCCCAGTCTGTCTGCCTGCCTGCCTGCCTGCCTGCCTGCCTGCCTGCCTGCCTGCCTGCCTGCCTGCCAGCCTGCCTGCCTGCCTGCCTGCCTGCCTACCTGCCAGTCAGTCAGCTAACCAGCCAGCCTGCCTGCCTGCCTGCCTGCCTGCCTTTCCCTCCCTCCCTTATTCTCACTACTTCCCTCCCTTCCTGCCTACCTCCTAGCATCTCTCCCTCCCTTTCTGACTAATTCTCCCCCCCTCTCAATGATTCTCCCCCTCTCTCTCATACTGCCTCCCACCTAAGCTCTCCCATCCATCCACCCACCAGTCAGCCATCACTGACGCAATGCGTGCATTTGGAGCCGACATGGTGCACAGATGTTTCTTAATTGTGCAGATATGTAAAACAAAAGCACAGAATGAACATTCCAGCCTTATGACAATTCAAAATAATAGGAATAATAGGCCGTGAATCTGTGAAGTCACAGTGGGCAAACTGGACCATCTCCCACCCACCACCACAGGCCGGCGTGACGCTTGGCGGACCCCTTCCTACCCGAACAAAGTTCGGGTAGCATGACTCCCCAACCCCAATCGGGAAACTGGAAGTTTCGGATAACTAAAGTTCGGAAACCAAGTGGTGCTCTGTATGTTACAAAAATCTTGCTATTAATTTTTGTTTTCCTTCTACAAAATGATCACAAGAAGAACCAATTCCTGCAGCCACATCTCTTAATAAACTTATTAAGCATAAATGAGAGGGGAAAAACGTTACAAAATAATAAGAAATTACATTAAAAAATCAATAACATAGTTAAAATGGATCTCGCTTACAATGCTCATGGAATTAATTCAAAATTAAGGAATTAGGTATAAAATTACAAAAATAATGACGGCTTGAAACAAACATGAAGACAATTTGCTGGTTGGTCAGTAAGCTGTTGTGGTGGCCATAATTGATTTTTTTTATTTATTTATATATATACAAGAGTTCTTACATTCGTGTACATAATAACCTTCTATAGGTTGATAAGGCCTTAGGCTCAGCATCCAACCCAAGGGCTAATATATTCATGGCTTACATGTTTGACTTGCATCCTGGCTGGAGAAATGACAGAGCTTCCTGTACGCTAAAGTTATGCCAGGTGTCATCTGGGTGGCGTTCTAGTGGGGGCGGCTCGTTCAGTGGTTGTGGACTCTGCTGCGCGTCATCCTGGTACTCCACCTGTGGACAAAGAGCGTTTCTATCAAACATGAAACGGTAAATGAGGTGGGAGAAGATTCCATTCGGTGAATGGATATGAATATTCTTTTTAGGTGAAAGAAGCCTTGTTTCCTCATTACCGTATGTATATTCAAATCATTAAATGATGATAATTGATGATAAAAACTGCTGTATGTATTAATTTTAAACCATGAAATAATTCAGTACCTTATGGGGATTGATACTCAATTCTTTATTTATTATAAATGTTAGCTATGATTCGACAAGCACCAATTATTGATTATTAAATCATTTACTATGCAGTACTTATAGAAAGATGCTAACTAAATAATCCTCACTTATTGACCTTTAATAGCTATTGATCTGAGGATTACATTTATCCATGTTAATATGCATTCATATATTTGCAACCCGTCTCAAAAAATTTGTTGTCACTCTTCAGAAGTTGGTATAAAAGTGCTTATTCAAGTAAATCTGAATTCCACACAGAGTTACCATGTAAATCGTGGGCAGCTTTCATCAGGCATCATCTCTGTCTCCATACACACTCACAATGCAAAAATACAATACAAAGGTACTGTAACAACCTTTAACCCTTACACTGCTCTAATTGCCCTCACACAATTATTCCCTTTTCATTATTATTAATTATTTTTATTCATGCACACCTTAATGTAGAACTATGAAAGAGCTGTGCCATTTAAGGTTAAAATTCAAACATTCTGAATAGAAAACAAATGTACATGGTATCCACTCAATTTAAGCATATATGGGGGCAAAACCCTACTCCCTCAATCAATATGGTTGCTAAATCCGATGTTGTTACATGTCAGTAATATTTTGGGTAATTCTCTGGGCCCCAAAATACAGTACTTTCATACTGCAAATAATATAACTTCCTCACAAACACACAATAATCTCTCCCTCCCACCTACCTGCACTCATACCTAACACAGATACACTCGTTTTCCCTCTCACCAACACTCGTCCCTCACATAAAAATACACGGAATATCAGGGACATTCCCAGTCACTGAGGAGAAAGAACCAGCGTTGAATGTAATGAAACGCCGTTCTCTGAGTGAGTTCCGAAGGCTCTCTGGAGCTATCCAGGCTGAATGGATATGTATAACTTTCTGGCATCAGTCAATGCATGGAGTCCTTGTCTACCGGGGACCACGAGCCAGAACCTGGCTCCCCTCTAGAGAGGCACGAGGAGCAATGGCCTATAGAGACCCCCCCTTATGATTGGGAGCATTCTATGTCTGCCATCGACCGGGACAGGCACCCAGAAAGGTAGGAGTCCCAAAACAAACCCCTATTCTTGTAAAACTATTGCGACTGAAGACCGAACAAGTGGACAGAACTCCCCAAACGAAAACTAGCAAACGAGCATGACGTCATCACGTAGCCGCGCCGCTGTCTGCGCAACACCCCCCCCCCTCCCCGGGAGGGGGAAGGGGCAGCCCAAGACCTAACCACTGGCGACCCACTCTGCAGTTCTTAGGCTAGACGTCAAAAAATGCGAAAAACACCGCCGACCAGAGGGAGGGAAACCGGGGAGCCTCCGGGACTCACCCAGAAAATGGCGTTTCATTACATTCAACACTGGTTTTCTGGGGGGAGCCCTGTCGGCTCCCTGGAGCTAACTACCCAAAGATAAGGAAAACAGGGACTTACCCGGGAGGCTGTCCATCCTCACTCCTCAGTGCGAAGTCGAGACAACTGGCTGCAACCGCCGACCCAATGCAATGCAGGTCCGCCTCGGCCCAGGAACATTCAACAGGTAGCAAGCGGCCAGGACCCTGTTCGACCTCCAAAAACCCCGGGCCTGAATGTCCACCCACGACATGTCGCCGAAGACGGCAACCAAGGCAGCAAACTTATGAACGTCATGGGCCCGAGAAAAACTGCTGGCTGGCTAGATTTAATAACCCTGCGGACAACCTGAGAGACCCTAGCCCGGAACAGGGAAGAAGGGAAACTGGGTCCACCCAGAATGCATCCCTGGCAACCGAAGCCGTGGCGCGCAAATAACGGCGGAGAGCCGCAATTGGACACAACACATGATGCACCCCCGGCCTGACCAACCAAGCATCAACAACCAAAGACCCCCTCTGGAAGGCAGCCATCTCACTCTTCGCCAGAAAAGAGGGAGACGGTTGCAAACGAACAAAATGATCACTGGGACCTAAGGAGCAGAAATCCCTGCGCCGGAGGAGAGCATGAAGCTCCCCAACCCGACCCCCAGAGGTCAATGCCAAAAGGAAAAGTGCTTTAGAAAAACAGTCCCGAACGGAAGGGGCCACAACAAACCGACGAGAAGAGTGAAACGAGAGCACGCGGTCCAAGGACTAGGATGGCTCAGGCGGCACATGAGCAGGCCAGAGGTGAAACAACGCACGAGACAACTTGCGAAAGGGGGCAGAAGTAACATCAACACTGAAAGCAAGCTGAAGTGGCTCCACCACCACTGCACGATACGAGGCGACAGTATTAGGCATAAGATGACGGTTCTGAAACAACCAAGAGAGAAAGGACAGAACAAACCTATCAGAGACCGAAGAATACCTACGCAGTGATAGGAAAAACGGAAAGGACCGCAAGGAAACTTCATACTGCTGTCGAGACGAAGCACGCAGGTGGGAGACCAACAACAAAGACACCTACACAACATACAAGTGATGATAAACCGAATCAAAAACACCAGACGTGAAGACTCGAGGAGAAGACCGAACCAGCCTCGTACCGGGCTGGACCGACCAGCTGAAAGAGGCGGAGCTGCGGGAAGACCCTCGGGTTCGGACACTGAGCAAGCAGCGCCTCAAATCAAGGTTGGGCTGGCCACCATGGAGCCAGAAGGACAACCCAACCCTGGTAAGTCTGAAGCGAGCCATGACCTGGAGCAACAGCTGAACCGGGGAAAAGAAGTAGAGGTAACTCCACTTCGCCTAGTCCTGCCTGAAGGTATCGACCCCGACTGCCTTGCAGTCGGGGAAGGGCATCACGTATACTGGGAGACGCCTCGACCACACTGACACGAAGAGATCCACATCTGGAGTCCCGAACGTATGGTACAGCCAACCGAAGGAGTTGGCATCGACCGTCCATTCCGTGGAAATGGGGAGAAAACAGGATAAGCCATCTGCCAGGACATTGGACAACCCCCCCCCCCCGACATGAACCGCCAGGAGAGCCAAACCCCGAGAACTCAGCAGACGAGTCATTCGAAAAGACCAGCCCCAAAGAGCCAAGAACCACATCGAACCCCGACAGTTTAGAAAATGAACCACCGGGGAGCAGTCCGAATGGAGCCGGATCTTCGATCCGCGAGCGACACAAACTCCCGTGTGGACTCTCCCATTTGGGCTGGTCTGAAGCGACATCCACACCGCCGAGAACTCCCGGACCGTGCCGTGAGCCCGACAGAAGGACGGACCCCACCGCCCCTGGCCGGCCTTGTGAGCACTGGTCACAAAACCCCAGCCAAGGGACGACGCATCTGTGTACACATCGAGCGAGGGCTCGGGCAGGCACCAAGGCACTGAACCCCGAAAAACCCGATTAGGAAGCCGGCGACACAGCAACCAACGCAAAGCCCCCGGACTCCGAATCCAACGATTGCGAGAAAGGCGGAAGGGCCATCCCCGAAGGAACCAGAATGGCCGACGAAGCCAAGCCCGACCCGGTGGGTAGACCATCATGACAATGAATCTGGTTGAATCTGGTTGATGGGGTTCTGGGAGTTCTTCTACTCCCCAAGCCCGGCCCGAGGCCAGGCTCGACTTGTGAGAGTTTGGTCCACCAGGCTGTTGCTTGGAGCAGCCCGCAGGCCCACATACCCACCACAGCCCGGTTGGTCCGGCACTCCTTGGAGGAATAAATCTGGTTTCCTCTTGAAAATGTCCACGGTTGTTCCGGCAATATTTCTTATGCTTGCTGGGAGGACGTTGAACAACCGCGGACCTCTGATGTTTATACAGTGTTCTCTGATTGTGCCTATGGCACCTCTGCTCTTCACTGGTTCTATTCTACATTTTCTTCCATGTCGTTCACTCCAGTACGTTGTTATTTTACTGTGTAGATTTGGTACTTGGCCCTCCAGTATCTTCCAGGTGTATATTATTTGATATCTCTCTCGTCTTCTTTCTAGTGAGTACATTTGGAGGGCTTTGAGACGATCCCAATAATTTAGGTGCTTTATTGCGTCTATGCGTGCCGTATATGTTCTCTGTATTCCCTCTATTTCGGCAATCTCTCCTGCTTTGAAGGGGGAAGTGAGTACTGAGCAGTACTCAAGACGGGACAACACAAGTGACTTGAAGAGTACAACCATTGTGATGGGATCCCTGGATTTGAAAGTTCTCGTAATCCATCCTATCATTTTTCTGGCTGTCGCAATATTTGCTTGGTTATGCTCCTTAAACGTTAGGTCGTCAGACATTATTATTCCCAAATCCTTTACATGCTGTTTTCCTACTATGGGTACATTTGATTGTGTTTTGTACTCTGTATTATGTTTAAGGTCCTCATTTTTACCGTACCTGAGTACCTTGAATTTATCACTGTTAAACATCATGTTATTTTCTGATGCCCAGTCGAAAACTTTATTAATATCAGCTTGAAGTTTTTCAATGTCCTCAGCCGAGGTAATTTTCATACTGATTTTTGTGTCATCTGCAAAGGATGATACGAAGCTGTGACTTGTATTTTTGTCTATATCTGATATGAGAATAAGGAAAAGCAGCGGTGCAAGGACCGCTCCTTGCGGTCAAGTTCAAAGTTCAGGCTCCTGCACAAACTCTCGAGCAACCGCCACATGGCCCGGGAACCCCTCAGAAACAGGCGAAGGCGGGACCACAGGTGAAATAGAGCCGCCGGAGGCAGAGACAAGGAAGCGGTGCGAGCATCCCAAAGCAGACCCAGCCAAGACTGAACCTGAGAGCGAACCAGATGGGACTTCCTCCAGTTCACCAAGAGCCCGAACCCGGCGAGCTGGGAAAGAACCAAATCCCTGGCAAGCAGACACACGTACCGGCTGAGAGTCCAAACTAGCCAGTCGTCGAGGTAGGTCAGCACCCGAACACCTAGCAGACGCAGGCGGGCCACCACTACCCGAGTAAGGCACGTTAAAACAGGAGGCGCCAGATTCAACCCAAAGGGAAACAACGAAAGCGGTAACCTTGACACCCTACAACAAAACCGAGCCAGTCCCTAAACCCCAGATGAACTGGGACGTGCCAATACGTGTCCTTGAGATCCAGGGACACCATCCAAGCGCCCGGCTCCAAGAAAAGACGGACCTGGGACAGAGTAGTCATCCTGAAGGAGGGGCAAGAAACCCACCGGTTCAGACAGGACAAGTCCAGAATGAACCGGAGGTCCACGCAGTCCCATTTCAGGACCGGAAACAGGCGGGAAACCCACCGGAGAGACGCCGTCGTTTTGACCACGTCCACTCCAAGATGACCCGACAGAGCGCAGGGGAAGAGGCCTGCCCCGCCAGCCCCGAACCCCCCGAGGAAGGAGGAGCCAGCCAACGCCACCACAGGCCACACGAAAAGACCCGAAAAGCCTGCGAATTGTGGGACCAGGCGCGAGCAAACCATGCGAGCCACTTCCCCATCGCCACGTCAATGGGACAAACCGTGAAAGGGCCAACGCGCCTTACGAGAACCCAAGTGGCGAACAGGGCAATCCCCGCGCCGACCAGCAACAGCCAGAACCAAAGGCTGCTCCAGCCCCGAATCTGGCACCAAAGGCCTACCCCGATGAAAAGAACCCCAAGCCCTGACACGACCTTTCCGGGAAGGCCTCCCCGCGAGCCCCCCGGTGCAACAACAATGCAGACATAGGCCGACAATTAACCGAGGCCGCCTGTAGGTACTGCACCACAGCAGACTCGGCAAACAGCAACGGACAAAAGGGCGAAGACAAGCGAAGAGCCAGGGCCCAAGCGGATTCCAAGGAAGAAGCCAGCATCGCCTGATGCCACGTGAGACGAAGAGCATAGAACCGTGCAACCGCATCATGCAGGATGGGCGCAAGGAGCTTCAACAAAGCAGACGACGCCTGCACCTTAGAGGACAGCGCACTGGACCTGGCGGCGGCCCCAAGTGCCCCCTCATCCAACTCAAGCCAATCCAAAGACAGCTCAAGGAGAGAAAAGAAATGCAGGGCTGAAGCAAGCAGGCCACAAGTCCGCAAATCCTCTGCAACTAAGGCAGTCAAAAGGGAAGGAACCTGCATGTGAAGCTGCATGACACCAACATCCTGCAGAAGGGCAGGAACAAACAAACAAGCATTAAGATGTTTGAAGTCGCCCCCCAGGAAAACCTGGAACGCCGTAGAAGTCTCCCGCCACTCAAGTGCGCGGGACCAACAGAACGTGTGCCAAGCCCCAAAGAACTGGCCAGACCCAGAAGCTCCGGCAGAAGGACCAGCCTCCGCCGCAGCCCCAGAAGGGGACACCCCTGAGACTGCCCGAGTCTCCAAACCAACTAAACCCTGCCCCGACTCTGAAACCCTCAGACATTTCGGAGCCGGAAGCAAGGGAAGGGGGGGAACTGAATGAACGACAGACTAGGCGAAGGCGAAGGACTAGGAGGGATGGACGGAACCAGAGCCAAAGCAACTCCCACCCCCAAGTCCGGGTCCCTATAACTAAAACGGGGCAGTCTCGGGGCATCCGGGGCAGCAACCAACCTAGTGCGTTGCAGCAACCTAAACCTAGCATGCAGCCTGGGCGAACTGGAGTACGTACAGACAACACACATCGCACGACTCCAGGTCAAAACAATCACCTGACCCAACATGCGGAGGCAAAACCAGTGAGTGTCCCCCTGAGACAAGGGGACAGAGCAACCTTCAAACTCGCAAGAAGCGAGGGGGGGACTCAGGGGTCACATCCATTGGACCATGTATTCCCCGTGGGGTTTCCCAGGGCCCTTAGCCTTGGATGCACGCTAAGGAAAGCCCAGGCAGGGTACTGCGAACCGGCGCCCAATCTACCAACAAAACTTCTATAGCTGAACCCCCGGGACGTGTACACTCACAGGGGCCAAGGCAGGGTGGACCACCAAACAAGGTAGATGGATACAATAACCCCAAGAACAGAGAAGGGAGACACAAGGGCAGACCTCCCCCCCCCCACCAGGCAGAAGACAAAAACAAAAAAAAACAAAAACGCACAAGGACAACATACACAGGCGGAACAGAGCCGGCTGCTGTTATTGGTGAAAACTAGCTGTGCAGTACCCTGTGCCCCTGCCAGTGACAAAAACTGCCCCCTACCCAGAGACAAACAAGGGCAAGAAAAAACCCCAGCTGACTCCAAGGGCGGCTAAATACTGAGTAGTAAACAGCACAGCAGAGGTAGATCCCGAGTTGACTTGTAGAAGGTGGCCCCAAGGGTAGTGCTTACAGGGCATCTAGGGAAGGAAACCCTAGGCGCATGCAGCCCGAGTACTGTAGAGTATTACTCCCGGCCCACACACCACAGGAAGGGACAGCTCGCACTACAAGGCACAAAACTGCAACAAAACACTGGACCCAGAGGCACGAATGTACCAGACTCCCATCAGCCAAGAACTGCAGAGTGGGTCGCCAGCAGTTAGGTCTGGGGCAACCCCTTCCCCCTCCCAGGGAGGGGGGAAGGGGTTGCACAGACAGCGGCGTGGCAACGTGATGACGTCATGCTCGTTTGCTAGTTTTCGTTTGGGGAGTTCTGTCCACTTGTTCGGTCTTTGGTCACAATAGTTTTACCAGAATAGAAGTTTGTTTTGGGGCGCCTACCTTTCTGGGTGCCTATCCTGGTCAATGGCAGACATAGAATGCTCCCAATAATAAAGAGAGGTCTCTATAGACCATTGCTCCTCGTGCCTCTCTAGAGGGGGCCAGGTTCTGGCTCATGGTCCTCGGTAGGCAAGAACTTCATGTATTGACTGATGCCAGAAAGTTATACATATTCATTCAGCCTGGATAGATCCGGGGAGCCGAAGGGGCTCCCCCCAGAAACAGGGACTTTCAGTTCCAGTCAATGTGAAAAAAGACAGGGACATTCCGTGTCACTGTGGAGAAAGACAGGTACATTCCCTGTCACTGTGGAGAAAGACAGGTACCGTACATTCCAACAATCACTCCAAGGGGAACGCTGGTATATTCCAACACCCACTCTACAAAAATAATTGTGTAAAGCGTTGCTTTAGTGAGGGTGAAGCCGTGTCACAACAAACCCAATAACGGCTGCCTGTTTAACCTAGTGGCAAGCTCGGTAAATTCAATGGCAACCGTAATCTAGCTTTACTCGATGTTGAGGATCCAAATACGGATCTCAAAGCCAGCTGTTAAATCCACGGGATGCTAAATCAGAGATCCTTAAATCGGGTGGATGCTGTATTATCCACAGAAAAGTAATTGACACAAACCTCCTTCTTGATATTGATGGCCATCATGTGTGCCAAGCTACCGTGGGGAAGATGGGAGGTCGGCGACACCGGCCCCACCTGACAGTGAGTCTGGTGTGGACTTGAATCTCTCTCCTCCCGCGCTTCACACTCGAGTCCATTTGCATCGTGGTCAACTACACCTTTGGTCTCACCGAAAGATATACTTGTTACACGATCAGATATATTCACAGGCGAAGGAAACGTTCGTAATGTTTCCTCACCTGCGAAGTGAAAAAGAATGTTACTGACAAAGTCCTTGCATCTCAACTCACATGCAAGTTATATCATTTTAAGATGCTTATTTGTCAAAGTTCAAATCCTATCCCATGATGTATTTATCATGATCACAACCATCACTTTCACCATCAGGGCATGAAGATCTAGAATTCAATTCATTACAGTCGTTAATAGGTAAGCACAATCATCATCATTTTCCTTATCACCATCACCGCTCTGTGGCTCCCCAGTTCGCCCTCCCACTTCCCCCTAGGATTATACAAACAGCACATAAAGTTGTTGGACATGGAGAGAAATATAGCAAAATTTTAGGACATTCTGTCTGTTGTCTGTGGCAACAGTCCTGCCTGCTGTCTGTGGGTAGAGTGCTTGCTGTTGTCAATAGTGACAGTGCTGCCACCTAGTAGTTGTCGGGAAGAGTGACCTCGCTTCTTGTCCGGAAGTTAGTCATTGACCAAGTCTTTTTGAGCTCATATAATACACGTTTCTGCCAATATTTGGAGCTGAAATAAATATTCTACTGTCCCACAGGATCAGTATAATCCTTCAGGGATTTTTTTTAACTGGTTCCACTTACGCTGGTGCTACATAATTCCCACGAACATGGACAGAAACCATGTATGAAGGTTTATATAGGTCCTCACTAGGTCAACCACTGACTGTGGGTTTATAGAGGTCCTCACTAGGTCAACCACTGACTGTGGGTTTACAGAGGTCCTCACTAGGTCAACCACTGACTGTGGGTTTATAGAGGTCCTCACTAGATCAACCACTGACTGTGGGTTTACAGAGGTCCTCACTAGGTCAACCACTGACTGTGGGTTTATATAGGTCCTCACTAGATCAACTACTGACTGTGGGTTTACAGAGGTCCTCACTAGGTCAACTACTGACTGTGGGTTTACAGAGGTCCTCACTAGATCAACTACTGACTGTGGGTTTACAGAGGTCCTCACTAGGTCAACTACTGACTGTGGGTTTACAGAGGTCCTCACTAGGTCAACTACTGACTGTGGGTTTACAGAGGTCCTCACTAGGTCAACTACTGACTGTGGGTTTACAGAGGTCCTCACTAGGTCAACTACTGACTGTGGGTTTACAGAGGTCCTCACTAGGTCAACTACTGACTGTGGGTTTACAGAGGTCCTCACTAGGTCAACTACTGACTGTGGGTTTACAGAGGTCCTCACTAGGTCAACTACTGACCGTAGGTTTACAGAGGTCCTCACTAGGTCAATCACTGACCGTAGGTTTACAGAGGTCCTCACTAGGTCAATCACTGACCGTAGGTTTACAGAGGTCCTCACTAGGTCAACCACTGACTGTAGGTTTATAGAGGTCCTCACTAGGTCAACCACTGACTGTAGGTTTATAGAGGTCCTCACTAGGTCAACCACTGACCGTAGGTTTATAGAGGTCCTCACTAGGTCAACCACTGACTGTAGGTTTACAGAGGTCCTCACTAGGTCAACCACTGACTAGGTTTATAGAGGTCCTCACTAGGTCAACCACTGACCGTAGGTTTACAGAGGGCCTCACTAGGTCAACCACTGACCGTAGGTTTATAGAGGTCCTCACTAGGTCAACCACTGACCGTAGGTTTATAGAGGTCCTCACTAGGTCAACCACTGACCGTAGGTTTATAGAGGTCCTCACTAGGTCAACCACTGACTGTAGGTTTACAGAGGTCCTCACTAGGTCAACCACTGACTGTAGGTTTATAGAGGTCCTCACTAGGTCAACCACTGACCGTAGGTTTATAGAGGTCCTCACTAGGTCAACTACTGACCTTTTTTCAGGAAACAAGCTACAGTATAACAGTTGTCCAACTCATGGGGTACCTAATGTATTGTTAGGTACATAGAGACATCAAGTAAAAGAAAATGTGCCCAATTTTCTCTTTCCTGCCTGAGGATTGAACTCTGGCTCTTTGATTGTGAGTCAAGGATGTTGACCACAGCTGTTCAACGTCCTCCCAGTGAGTATAAGAAATATTGCTGGAACAACAGTGGACATCTTCAAGAGGAAACTAGATAGTTTCCTCCAAGGAGTGCCGGACCAACCGGGCTGTGGTGGGTATGTGGGCTTGCGGGCCGCTCCAAGCAACAGCCTGGTGGACCAAACTCTCACAAGTCAAGCGTAGAACTCACAAGTGGGGAGCAGAACTCCCAGAACCCCATCCAGGTACAATCCAGGAACTGTGCCACCAGACCTACACCTAATTGTGTCTGATGCTAAAGAAACATCAGTAGTGTCTTAGTCATTAGGAGTACCAGAATGGAAGAGCTCAGAAAGGCCATAGTGTTATGCACCAGCCACATGTATCTTGGGGTTATCTTGAGGTTATCTTGAGATGATTTTGGGGCTTTAGTGTCCCGCGGCCCGGTCCTCGACCAGGCCTCCACCCCCAGGAAACAGCCTGTGACAGCTGACTAACTCCCAGGTACCTATTTACTACTAGGTAACAGGAGCATCAGGGTAAAGAAACTCTACCCATTGTTCCTCGCTGGCGCCCGGGATCGAGCCCGGGACCACAGGATCACGCGTCCAGTGTTCTGTCCGCTCAGCCGCCAGCTCCCCTTAAATATACCTGTATGGTATATACACATGAACAACTGCCAGTGTTTGGATTCATCAAGTATACACACAACCTCTTATGAAACCTGTACCTCTTTTTTCACTCACGGCAACTTTGTTTACAAGCTTCAAAACTTCACAACCTATCTTGAGGTTATCTTGAGATGATTTCCGGCTTAGCGTCCCCACAGCCCGGGCCTCCTTTTTGTTACACACCCCCAGGAAGCAGCCCGTAGCCACTGTCTAACTCCCAGGTACCTATTTACTGCTAGGTGAACAGGAGCATCAGAGTGAAAGTAACTCTGCCCCATTTGTTTCCGCCTTTACTGGGAATGACACTCGGCTGTCAGGCTCTCCTTAAGGTTATTTTTGATATAAACGAGCTCATAGTCAACATTGGAGCTCATAAATGAACAGAAAGATGCCACGATTGAGGAAAAATATACAGTTTTCATAAGTGGTTGAACAGATGCTCAATGAATCTTGGCACTTTACAGTATGGCTCAAGTAACCAAAATGGCAAATTCTTAAAAAGCTAAGTGGAAACATTGTTTAAAATATTGCTCAACTACTCAAGACAAGGTACGACGTACTGTGAAAACGCTCCAGTGCTATAGAGACTTGCGGTTGTGATAACGAATTCCCCGAGTAATCTTGATCTGACGAATAATGCGGAAGGGCACCTTGGTGTTCTGATGATGGAGAACTTGCATAGTCACTGGAGTAGTTTCTGAAAAAAAAAATAATAATTTTCTTCATGATATAAAAAACCAACGTTGACTGTAATGAAACCCCATGTTCTGGGTGTGACCCGGAGGCTCCCCGGAGCTTACTACGGTGATATGCTAATGTCAAACTTTAGTATCAGTCATGTGTATGGAGTTCGTTGGGCCTACCGGGGACCACGAGCCAGAACCTGGTCCCCTCAGAGAGGCATGGGAAGCAATAGCCTATAGAAACCCCTGTGCTGTTGGAAGCATTCTATGTCTGCCATCGACCGGGTCAGGCACCCAGAAAGGTAAGCGTCCCAAAACAAACCCCTATTCTGGTGAAAATTGCTACCAAAAGCCGAACAAAGGGGATAGAACTTCATAAAAAGAAACAAGCAAACGAGCTTGATGTCACACATTGCCGTGCCGCTGTCTGCACAGCTCCCCCCTCCCCAGGAGGGGGAAGGGAGAGCCCCAAACCCTCGTACCGGCTATCCACCCTTCAGTTCTCAGGCTGGATGTTATAACACGCGAAAAACCCGCCGACCAGAGGGAGGGAAGGATGCCTGGGAGCCTCCGGGGGTCTCACCCAGAAAATGGCGTTTCATTACATTGAATGCTGGTTTTCTGGGGGGAGCTCCATCGGCTCCCTGGAGCTACCTACCCAAAGATGAAAACAAGAGGGACCTAACCTGGGAGGTGGAAGACACACACCCCTAACGTGAAGCGGAGACAAAAACGGAAACTGCCAACCCAAGGCCACACAGACCCGACAAGGCCCAGGAACATCAACGAAGGAACGCAGAGCCAACCAACGAACTACGTGGGCACGGGGACAGACAGCAGGCTGGCAGGACCGAACCACCCCACGGACGGCCCGAGAGAACCACATCCTGGAACAGGGAAAAGGGGAATACGGAACAACCCAAAGCGCGACTCTGGTCACGAAAGCCGTGGCACGCCAAGCACAGCGCAGTGCCGCAACCGAACATAAAACACAATGCACCCCGGCCCAACCAACCAAAGCATCAATCAACCCAAGGATCCCAACAGAAAACACCTGCACCAGTCTTCGTCAGAAAAGAAGGAGACGGCCGCAAGTGAACAAACCTATCAGGAGAACCAAAAGAGCCGAAACCCAGGCGCCGGGGAAGGGCATGAAGCACTCCAACCCGACCCCCAGAGGCCAACGCCAACAAGAAAATTGCCTCGGAAAAAACTCGGAACTGAAGGGGCCATCATAAACAGAGGAGAAGAGAAAGGAGCACACAGTCCAAGAACCAGAACAGCTCAAACGGCGCAAGAACAGGCCAGAGGTGAACTATGCCAGAGACGACTCGCGAAGCGGTGCTGAGGAAACTCCTAAAACCAAAGCAACCTGGAGCGACTCCACCAGCGCCGCATGAGACAAGGCGACAGTATGTGTTAAGATGACGACCCAAAACATCCACAAGAGAAGGACCAGACCACGCCAAGAAAACATAGCAAACCGAATAAGGGACAGAAAGAAAAAGGAAGGACCCGCCAATGAAAACCGCAGGTGGGACACCATCAACAAAGCCACCCAACCACCAACCAATGGTGAGATACTCGAGGCAGAACCGAACCAGTCCTGCCCTGGATCGATCGAGCATAGGAAGAGGCGGAGCCGCGAGAAAACTTTGGGTGTAACCACGGAGCAAGCAAAGCTGGAACCCAAGCCGGCAAGGAATGAGCAGGAATGTCTGTCGTACAGAAAACTTTCCAACGCCAGCAAGCTTGCCAGGAGATCGGAGACACTATGGTCCGATGCGAGACTTGTGAGAAGTGACACCGCGAGATCCGGAAATTGCCAACTGGCAGGGTAAGCCAGGAAACCAGGAACCCAAACCTGGCAAGGCGTGAAAGAACCAAACATATGGGCGGTGCAAAAACATGGAACTGAACATGGACAAAGTCCAACCTAGCCTCTCTACTCAGAGAGAACCCCAGCAACATCAGAGGCTGGGGCAAAACAGGCCGACCCCTCAGTGACCAAGAGAGAACTGGAGCAGGTACCTCCAAAGGATACCTGATCAACCAGGCTGTAAGTAATACGGTACTTCAGGCTGCACATAGCCGCGTCAAAGGCCTGGGTGACCAGTCTAGCAACGAGGAGGTTTGGTCGACAACCGGGCCGCATAGACGTTAAGCCCGGAAACACTGCAAGGAAACTGTAAGGCAGCAACGGGAACAAAAGGGACAGCCCCAACAACACAGAGGCCATGTCTATGTCAGGCGATTGACAGCCGAGAGGCGGGACCAAAGAGCCAGAGCTCAACCCCCCGCCAGCACAGCTAGGTAAGGACAATTTGGTGAGTCCAGAGAATCCAATGTACATGGAAGGGCTAAGCCAGACACTGCAAGAGGGCATGGAATGAGTGACCCAGATAAGAACAAGAAAAACGGGGCCGGGACCCAACGCGTAAAAAATTACACAGACGAACAAGGAAGGCCCCAGGAAGAAGCACGCAAGGGCCAAACAAAACGCCACAACCAATTCCCAACATGCATCCACAGTATCAAAACTGCAGCAAAATGTCACCTCATAACGTCCTGACACGGTGTAACATTTACCCCATAACATTTACCTCCACCATTTTACCTCGTAACATGGTGGAGGTGGGGCCCCTCGATTAACTCAAGCATGAGTTGGACATGCATATGAGTGGGACCGGATGGGTATAATAGGAGCTGCCACACATGGGCCAAGAGGCCCTCTGCAGCCACCTATGTACTTATGTTCTGATATCCGTATCCAAACCACGAACCAGCGCCTGGCCGAAAAAGACGCCAAACCACAGAAACTCACCTGCAGAACGTAGGCACGAACGTGTCATGACACAACATAGCCGAGAAGATGCCGGGAGCACCGCCCGAGGAAGAAGACCAGAGCCGCACATGCAGGAGAAGAGTAGGGTAGAGGCGAATGAGGCACCCCCTACACCCATATGCAGGGAAAACCCAGCGACATTCCCATATTGGCAATCCAGAACACCCTCAGCATTAACAGGGCACGGATTGGAGAGACGAGAGGAGCGAGAGAGAGGCGAAGCACTTGAGAGAAAACGGGCACGGAACACCAGCACTTGTGTACACCATCTAGAACAAAACAAACTCCCACGGATGTTCAAAAAATTGTGCAGGATGCATGAGGTCCGAACCACACAACCCCACCCAGCAGGGAGGGCACCAACAAGGAATATGGCAAAATATTAGCAGTGCCTAGACAGAACACAGAGAGAAGATATAATGACAAAAGAAGACAGTATCGAAAACCAAGAAGAAGCACGGAAGAGGACAAACGAGTCCAAAAAGGATTGGAGGTAAGCCTCACAAGAAGACGACAGACATTCCAACAATGCGGGAAGAATTGAAGACCTTCCCGAACCCCCCCAAGATCTCACAAAAGAAAACACAAAACCACAATGGCATATTGCAGACATGTAGTAGCAGACATGCTACTAAGTGGCTCCCAGAACTGAAGGGCAAGAGCTACGACGAGAGGTTAGAGGAATTAAATATGCCAAAACTAGAAGACAGAAGAAAAAGAGGCGATATGATCACTATGTACAAAATAGTAACAGGAATTGATAAAATCGATAAGGAAGATTTCCTGAGACCTGGAACTTCAGGAACAAGAGGTCATAAATTTCAACTAACTAAACAAAGATGCCGAAGAAATATAAGAAAATTCACTTTCGCAGAGTGGTAGACGGTTGGAACAAGTTAAGTGAGAAGGTGGTAGAGGTCATAATCGTCAGTAGCGTCAAAGCGTTATACAGTATATGACAAAGAGTGCTGGGTAGACGGGACACCACGAGTGTAGCTCTCATCCTGTAACTACACTTAGGTAATTACATAAGGGCACAGTCGCACCCGAGACCAAAAGTCATGCAGAACCCCCGATAATAGGGGAACATGGCTGACATGGCGGAGAAGTCCCATCCCAGAGAAAAGAGGGTAGAAACGAAGAAAAGTACCCATCGATAGGACAGAACCGAACGAACCCGAAGGAACAAGGATCCGAACCCGGGAAAGGGCCAACACCCAACAACTCGTATGCAGAGGGGGGAAGGAAAAACCCCACTCCCCATAACAGCAAGCCCCGCACTGAGGGGGCGAGGAAGCAACTAACAACCCCAAGCCCCGTCACAACAACCAAAACGGGGCAGCCTCTGGGCTTCCGGGGAGCAAACAACCTAACGCGTTGCAACCACCTGAACTCAAAGTGCAACACCCGTGCTGCCTGCACCCGCAGAGTCAGCATAATACCGGGTAATCGAGTCACAAACAAGCAACGAAACTCGCAAGACTCCGGATCGAAGGTGCCACCGACCCCACTGGCAAGATAACGAAGTTTAACGAAGAAAAGTTCCAGCTCATGCGCTACGGAAAAAATGAAAATATAAAAACGAAAACCACGTACAAAATTCAGTCAAATCATAACACAGAACGAAAAGGCAATGTAAAGGATTTAGGTGTACGCATTTCGGAAGACCTTACTTTTAAAGAACACAATAAAGCAGCCGTCACTACTGCAAGAAAAATGACAGGTTGGATAACAAGAACTTTCCACACTAGAGATGCTATACCGATGATGATACTTTTCAAAACGCTTGGGTGGAGTACTGCTGCACAATGAAAGCCCCTTTCAAAGCTGGAGAAATTGCTGACCTGGAGAGTGTGCAGAAATCCTTTACTGCTAGAATCCACACAGTAAAACATCTAAACTACTGGGACTGACTGAAGAGCCTAAATCTGTACTCCCTTGAGCGCAGGCGAGAGAGAGATACATAATAATCTACACGTGGAAAATAATAGATGGGCTGGTCCCAAACTTGCACACAGAAATAACACCACATGAGACCAGAAGACATGGCAGGATGTGCAGAATACCCCCATTGAAGAGCAGAGGTGCAACAGGTACTCTGAGAGAGAACTCTATCAACATCAGAGGCCCGAGACTGTGCAACACGCTTCGACTACACATAAGGGACAT